AATCATATAAATTTTCACATCTTTTTGTATAAGAGGCCCCATTTTCCACATTCAACTAAAATAATTCTTGGGTTTTTTGTAAACTCATAAGTTAACTTATACATTGGCTATGTTTGTAAAAGAAAAATCTCAACCCAAATTAATTCATACTCAAAATTTAACTCAACTTTAACTCAACCTCACTGTCTTCAATATTATCAATATAATTAAATAATAATAATCAATCACTAAATAATAACAACCAATCATTTTTACACATTATATCAACTTTAATTCAATATTCACACACGCACATAATTTTAACTAATCATCGTTTCATATCATCTCTCTCCTACTTTTACATTAAACAGATTTTAATTATTCTATTTTAAATATAATTATAAACTCAAAATTCCACTAACAACTAACTATACCACTTTTTCTAAATTAACCTTAGTTAACTAAAAAAAACTTACTTTGAGTTAGTTCATTCAAATTATTTCTTTTACAAATACACCCATGGAACCTTGTAAGACTCTCTTGGTCGTTTTAATAAGGATTATTGAAAATTTTAGTTTAGCTGACTTATCAACTAATTATACCGAGTACTTTTATTAATTCCACTAGCTTAATTTTCATCGACTATAAAATCAAAATTCACTTATAACATATTTTAAGCTATAATTATTAAAGTTACCATAGGAATATAAATTATGTAACATGCGAAAAAAAAAATAATATCTATTGGCTATTTTAAATCACGAGTTTAAATCATATGAATCAACATTAAAATTAACTAGATAAATCTAATTTCAGGCTCAATGTAATAATAATATAATGAAGTGAATATAGTCTATTTTCTTTAATTTTACCACACTATTAAAGACTTAAATATATTTTTAATTAAGTAAAAATTGCACCAAAAATATTGCGGAGAGTCGAATACAATTGAAATCAATGCATTAGGTAAGAGAAATATAACTATTTTCTATTTGATATACTTTTTCCATTATGCGTTTGTGTTTTTCTTGTTTGGCATTTTCTTTAATCTTTTTTTCGAGATGCTTTGTGGTGATTGGTCTCTCGTAGTTGGACAGTCAAGCCTAATGGAGCATAGAAGTCTATCTTGCGTTGTATTTTGATATTTTTGTTTCTTAGTTTAGTTTTCTTTATCATCGTCGTGTTTAATCCCGTGATTCTCTTTGATTCCAAAAGAAGAATCGGCATTTTTAATAGTTCTATGATCTATGATTGTCTAATAATATTTAATTTTGGTTAGGAAAAAAAAAAAAGAGAACACAAATTCGCATGGAATTAAGTTATTATTCTTTCATTTATTCGGGTGGTCCAATCTTTTATATACTAAATCAACAACGTTTCCTTTGCGCAAGTCTGGAAAAAGCATTTATTAGTGATTTGCCCAAAGTCAGGCTATTCTCTTGACATTTGAGTCTTATTTTACACCATCGTATTTGATAATTATAAAATATATCTTGATAAAATATATA